ATACCAATGCAAAGTATTCATTCCTATACCCTATTCACCCCATTTTTTCTTTAAAAAGAGATTGACTATGCTCATTATCATTTATAACTAACCCCATTTAAATGAAAACAAACATTTATAAACAATATTTGGGAATATGGACATCGTTTTTTCTAAACTGCTTCCTGCTGCTTTGGGGCAATGTTCATTACACCATAGGGATCATGATAAAACATAGAAACCTGACCAAGTCCATGTTTTTGTAGTCTGTAAAGCTGTATCGTCTCAGCTTCAGGGGGTCTTGCTTGATCAAACCATATTAGTCTGGAAGGAATCCACAGCTTTTCATTTTCAGTGGAAATACAAGCAAAATCTTTATTTATAAGTAGCCTGTTCTTAGACTTAAATTTTGAAGTCAAAGCATTTTTAAAATGTATAACTTGGATTAATTTAGCAGCATTTATAATCAAATGTATTGTAGCAGCAATAAGTCTTTCCTCGGCAATCAAACAATTTAAAGACAACAATATGGCATATAGTATCCAGATTCTCTGTGTATTTTCCATCTTTATGTGGCTTTTTTTAAAATGTAGTGTAAACCTTTAGAGGTTTTTCTTTATCTGTGTCTGTCTTTATCATCTCAGTAGTGCCAAGTCCAATGCCCAAGAGCACCACAATGGCACAAGCATATGGATTTTGACCGATGCCTCTCAACATTCTGACAGGGCAGGCTGTGGTGGCAGGTTTATCTCTTTCTCTGGAAACCTTGGAGCATGGGGTCATCCCATTCCTGAAACCATTCTGTTACAATAAATCTTTCTGTCAAAAGCCGCCGAGCCCCACTGCCACTTGTGAGTTTTATGCCATTCGCTTGCCCAAGTTAGAGCCCAAATGAATACACAGAAACTTATATTAGGTTCAAAGCTGCTAGGCCAATGACTTCTCATCTGTTAGCTCAGTCTTAACTATCACAAACCTATATATTTTATACAACTTATCTTATAGGATGCCTTATTGGCATCCCTCTTTGCCGGTGGATCACATCATGCCCCCGAAGCAGGAGCAGAGGGAAAAAAGAGATACACTTCCTGTTTCCTCACTTAGATATGAGTCTCCTTGCCATGTTACTTCCTGCCTGATCATCTCTTCTCTACTACATTTCCCAGAATCCTCTTTGACTCCTAGTCCTTGCTTGCAATTGGCCAAACAGTATTTTATTTAACAATCAATAAGATAAACATACACAGTACATTCCCCATCACATGGTTGAGCCACTGTCTATGTGGTGGTGTGAAGCTTTTGAGTACATTTCCAATAGTGGTGCAGCTTGATCTTGATGGAGATAGATTCACATTTTCCTGAGGAATCACTACACTGATTTCCATCTTATCTGTATTAGTTTTCACCCCTACCAACAATGGATTAGTATTCCCCTTGTTCCCCATCATTGCCAGCATGAACAGT